AAAAAATTCACTCCATCCAAGATACCTAAAAAGGAATTAATTTTATATTTGAGATGCAACATGACATATCTGCCTCAATCTGGATATCTGGGACATCTGTGTATAACTTGAGATCTTGGAAACATCTAGTGCTGTCAAATCTGTTTTTGCAAATAGAAAACTTGGATGTTTTTTTTGAAGGCAGACAAGATTCCTCAGATTATTAGGGATTCAGGTGTTTGATGGCCTGTCAGAGTACAGCTCGTTTTTTCCCATTTCCATCAGCATTTACGGGAACTGACTGCATGTGCGGACATGAACAGACATTTGGGAACTCAATACTATTGTATCATGAAGGATGCAGGGAGTGTGAGTGTGTGTGTGTGTGTGTGTATGTGCATGCCTAAAAGTTTCAGAAAGAGATAAAAACTCGAGAATAAAAACAGTAAACTTCCTCTAAAATGCCCTTCTGAGTGTTTACACTTACATATACACTACCTTTCAAAAGTTTATGGTCACTAAAATGTATCAATGTTTAATAATGTTATTAGTACAATTTAAAATAACTGTTAAATAGAACAGCATTTATTGGAAATAGAAATCAGAACAGAAATTTTTTAACATTCTACATGTTTTTACTGTCACTGTTGATCAATTTAATAAATAATCATTGAAATTAAGCATGATTTTTTCCCCCAAATAAATAAATAAATAGTCTTTTTTATTTTAGAAATCCCGCAACTGCAAGTTACATTATAAAATAGTGTAACAAATAAAATAATAATTCCAATGAATATGTTCAGTGAACATTTGCTTTATATTAACTATTAATAATCTAAATATAAAAAGTGAAAAAGTAAAGAGTAAAATATGCATATAAAATTTGTGATTTGTGATTAATATAAAGTACAACATAAGTATAAACCCAATGTAATGACACCAACTAGTAAAGAGTAAAGTAAAGAAAATATTCCACCTCCCAATCTAATCTAATTATAGTGTGCATCAGCTTGACGTCACATAAAGCTCTTGTATCTTGAACTTCAGAAAATGTGAAATAGAGTGCACATACAGATACGGACAACTTACATGAAACCGTAACAACCATGGTAAATGTACAGCATCTTTATAATATACACAAAGCTATGTATTGGAGCCATACAGGCCTAAACCAGATTAGTAAATGACCACAGTTTTGCTGTCAAATTCTTGTAAATTGCTTTACAGGTCTATTCGCAATCAAGTATGGGTTCATGTTGGGCTGAATCTCTACTTGATGTACAAGACTGATTTTGTTTAAAGATTGTTAGTCAAAAAACACTGTAGTCAGACATCTAGAGCATTACAGCGCCCTCTACTGCTATTAGGCAGATTCATTTACTGTGGTCATGAGACTCTAAACCAGTAGGGTTAATGTAAGTGTGGAGACGTCCACTAATATATCAAGTTTTACATATGCCAACAAAGAAATATTCAAAATCATGACCAACAATTCAAGAATAGAATTGAATCAATAATAGCTGTTCATAACGAGTGGAGCAAAATTTGTGCAAAGTGTGGACTGACCTTAGTTGGCCTTTGAGCTCGGTGAATCGTGGTCGTTTGCTGGGGTCGTATGCCCAGCACTTGGTCATCAGGCTGTAGAGGGTTGGTGGGCAGTTGGGTGGCATCGCCAGACGCTCGCCGTTCTCAATCCGGCCTATCACATCGTTATTCTTTACGCCTTGAAACGGCTTCACTCCATACATTAGTATCTCCCACATACACACCCCTGAAACAAGTGAGGTTAGATACACATGAAGACAACTGCAAGATTCCACCTCTAATGACTCAACTTTAGCACTAATTAAAGGTGGCTATAAAACAAGAGCTGTCACTTCCTGATCGACACTATTCATTAAACTGTCGCTACACACACAGAATGGAAAAATCCAATTCTACTCTGCAAAATGCTCTCTTTACACACATTTTAGAAATGTCCCAAATGCACTGCATGCATAATGCTAATGCTAACTTTTCATTGTCTGAACATGCAAAAGAGACTGAGTTTCTCTGTTTCTAACAGGAATTCATCGAAGTAAAACACACACTCACTTACCAAACATCCACACGTCGCTGGCTGAGGTAAAACGTCTGAAGTTTATTGACTCTGGCGCCATCCATTTAATAGGTAGTTTTCCTTTAGAGGCTGTGAAGAGAGAGAGAAAGAGACAATGAGAGTGAACGAAAATGAGTAGAGGTCTGTACATTCAGTCAGGTGTAAAGACTCATTCACACCAAGAAAGATAACGATAATTAAAACTATTTTAGCATTCACACAAGCGGATGATAACACTCTTTTTATTATGGTTTGTGAACATAATTGTTGCACAATTTAAAGTAGGAAAGAACTTTGATATGCTGTCAATGCTTTTGCTGTTCATCAGTTGGAACAAAAAATAAAAAATGCCTCAAAGTAACTCAATATCATCCAATTAATTTAATTTTCATATTTAATTTACTATATTATATTGAATGTTTCACATTCAGAAGCAATAATGTTTTTGTGTTGGCTTTCTGATCTGTACTAAAGAGGGTACATTAATACCTTTATAATAAGAGCTGTCCTCCATGTATCTAGACAAACCAAAGTCTCCCAGCTTCACACAGTCCACTGAGGACACCAGAACATTCCGTGCCGCAATGTCCCTAAAAAAAGAGAGACTTTACTTTAGAATGTGCTGAGTAGACATCTATAAGAGCTGTTCTTTCTACCTTATTTCCATAATAAATATGCACGCAGAAATGCTACTAGATGGGGATCCTGTCTGCAGAAACGTTCAACAGGAAACGGGTGCTGTTCATTATCAATTATGATGGCCTGCACGACGTGGACACTTACCTGTGTACAAAGCGTTTACTCTCCAGGTATGCAAGAGCTGTGCTGAGCTGGTAAGAAAACAGGATGAGTGATGCT